AAATGAATGAATAAATAAATGGATAAACGATAAACGTGAGCGTTACGTTTACGTTCTGAGGGACTCATCACGCGACGCCGGAGCCTGTTTTCGGTGCCGTGGGTATCGACGAGCTCATCCTTCTAGCGAAATGTTCGGCCTATTATGTTACGAAGCCTATTGCTAAAGTCATTCTGACAACGCTCAGACAGGCACACATCAGAGTTTGCAACGTGAGCCCTGCCCGGGACCTGCTCTCAGCAACCGGCTGGCTTGATGAGCTCGTGACGTAACGGATCTCGGGCTTGATTTGCAGAGTGCGGAATGCAACGTGCGTTAGATTCGTTCGCTCCGAGGAAGGCAGGTCGGCTGGCAGGCAGGCTGGCCGGCCGGCAGGCCGGCTGACTGGCTAACGGACTGACAGCAAGTTAGTGAGTCAGCCAATCGGCCTCCAGGATAGGCTCGTGCTCGGTGGTCGTCGAGTTGTCATTCGTTACCGGAACTTCGTTGGAGCGATCTCCGCTTATTCGAGGAGCGCTGAACTTTCATGTTCGCGTTCGATGTATTGTCAAATTGCCGTCAATGCCATATCAACTCAGCAGAGATTCCGCAAGCAGGTGAGGTCTATCCTGTCGTTCGATGCGCTCGTTGAGAGTGTTCCACCGCCCTCGGCGAGGAAGCACGACGACATTCCCGAACGAAATACGCGGCCCAGACCGCGGCGCGGACCGTGTGGCGGTCGTCGATGCTTGCGAAAACCAGATGACCATTTCTCGGATCACGTTCAGTGGCCAACGACGTCGTTGGTGGGAGCGAGGTCCTTCGGACAACGCCATTATTCAATACATGCGCGCGGAGCCTCGTTGTTTTTCTCGCCGTCCGTCCGAACGAGCAATGCGGTGTGAGCTCTTGACTGCTATTCAGCAAGGCCCCGAAACGACCTTCGTTCTGTTTACATGGAAGTGATTTTCAGCTAGACAGGGAAAGTGCTCTTGGGGCTCACTAGATGACGGAAGCCAGTTTACTCCTTCATCTGTGGCATGATTGCATTATTAAGCGTCTTGAAAGAGCGAATCCTCACGCCACATAGCAACGAGCGGCGCGTGCTTCTTGCCTTCGCACCTACTGGCTGGGAATCGGTGGCAGGCTACAGCCACCGCAATCCAGGAGGGGTGAACATGATTTTGTTACTTGGGTAATCGGAGCTGGTCGATCATCGGTCGGGGACGACACGTGATCCATTATACATACATCGGCGAACCAGTATCGCCCGCGTGGAGATCTGATCGTGATCGAAAGGTCAAGCTCATGGACTGGAAAAACAAACTGGAGATCGCGATACGTGCAATTATCGAATATAATACTTTATTTACCCGCCATTTGGCGTAAATCAATCGACTAAGGGCGTTATAGAATAAGGGCGGACTTAGCAGCAAATGCTTGAATGTTGTGAATATTCCGGCACGACGTTCCCGAATTGCTGGATCGTGACAGGGGAGATAGGTTTGAACTTCGAGCTGAGTCCGGTCAGGAAGGAGCGCGGGAGAATTCGCGACCCCCTCGGTCACCTGATCGGGGAATGGACGCCGTTTCGTCGGATCAGTTCCGGAAACAACACGGCTTGAGCGGCTCTCATGATTGCTCCTAGAGAGCGAAATACATAGAACAGAAAACTCCGGCGAAACAGACGTCCCTGAGATGAGGCGTACCTTCGACAGTGTCGCTCGAAGCTCTCGCTCCGGAATGAATCTTCGGCCTGGACAGTCGTTTCTGGGAGATGGGAGGAGCTCGGAATGAGGTGCGCTGAAAATAGTTCAAAAGGGAATATTTTCGGAATCTCCGCTCGAGACTTCGGCTAAATATACGTGCGCATCCTTCGGCTTCTCGTGCGTTCGCGTGTCCGACCCCAATGAGACACGCTGAACGCATCTCGACCGAAAGAGATTTTCCTGTCGATAGTGGAAGAGGACGGATGCTGTTTGCTGGAAGAAGGAGCGAAAATCCTCGGGCGTAAATAAGCTCAGCCTACGTGTGACCCCTTAGCCTTCAATGTACATATTCCGCGCTCGTTCCGGGCACGTGTAAGCTTGCCTAGCTCGGACTACATACTTTGAATCACCATTAGGCACATCAGGTCCGGCACGCGCCTTAAGAATAATCGTGGCCTAGAATTTTCCGTGTTGTGGAAACTCCGACTCGTCTACTCAGCTCGTGCCATAACCTAGATCGACGGCGAGCTCGCGCGGGCCCCACCTGGGCACGAATATTCATGCCGCAGCGGAGTAAGATTCTCTCGAGTCGGTTCGGAATTTTGCGTCGAACGTGTTTTCGAGCAGGTTACTCAACAGCATTGATTGAGCTCCATATGATCGCTGCGCTATATCAGAAGTTGCGGCTATTCGGATCTCCGGAATCAAATTCTGAGTCGGTCGGACCACGGCGACCCCATCGGGATGTCGAGGGAGCGATCCTTCCCCGTATAATTATCGGCACTGATAATCGTGACGCGTAGCTCAAGTTCTGTCATCCACTCTACGCACGATAGACTCGTATTCCGTGGAGTTCATGCATCTCGAGCACTGAATTAGGAAATCGACTCCCGCGGAATCATATTGATTCTGGAGATCCATATTTTGAAACACTAGAGGGAATCCGACAGGACATTGAGCATCGAACCACTCGTTCCGAGGTGTTTTTTCTCGCGTCTCGGGAAGGAATACCCGATTCGACAGGAAAATGACGGCGCGGCAGCTCAAGCGTCACCGTTTCGCGTTGGCGGAATAGAATCAGATGTTTAGCTCTGAGAGCCTTTCCGTGGAGAATGGAAATAGAATCTAGTTCAAGATCAGGTTCCTCGCTTCGAGAATCTGTCGTCAAGGAGATTTCCATACAAGTCAGAAGATGCTTCGAGCCGAGGCCAGCATCGAGAGAAATGACCCCATTGTGAGGGAAGATGACGACGTCGTCGACAACAACAGCAACAGGGCTACTGCTGATGACGGCGGCGGCGGCGATGGAGACAAACAGACAGATGATGGTGGTCTTCATTTTTTTGCCAGGCACGGCAAGGGCGACTCGCTTCCATACGAAGCGACGGTAAGAATCTACGCATATGCGACATATGTGGAAATCTCTGCCTGGGGCCTCTGGTGTTAGCTCGGAGCGAATTCCTCGCTCCCGAGTGCAATCACAAGCAGCCTCGCATCAAAGGACACACGTGTCCCCGTCAAACGTCCTTAGATAACTCGCATCGGGCTCGTGTCTGCTGCAGCTCATGATGATAGTCGCTCGAAAGCCGACTCGCAATGTCCGTAATATCTACTTGTTGAGCTATTTTGCTTCCGAGTTGCATAAACGTCTCCCTATCACCAGCCTGCATTCTTTGCTTTGTGCTACCGATGCCAAGAAA